CTGCTGAAGGCATGGGAACTGCTCCCACCCACGTTCAGAGCAGCAATGAGGGAGCGTAATCCCCTGGGCAGAGTCTGCCTGACTCAGAGAGTGGCTAGGCATCATCTAGATTATTTGGCTTCATTTTTCCAACTCCATTCTCTAAATGACATTTCTGGCTACTTTTCTTACAAAACCTCCCTGTTCAGCCAGGGTAGTGTTGGAGCAGACTAGACCCTCCTTACCAGCTGTGCCTATTCATTTACTAGAGGGTGGCCTGTTTTAATTGTGGCTCTTGGGCTATAGATTAGTGGTGGCTAGGAAGGTGCTCTGTACATAGCATTGGTGTGAAAGAGCAGCTTCCTCATGAGGAGAGCCCTCTTCTCCCCCAGGTAGTCATTGTTTGAGTAATGCTGAGGTCCTTTAACAGTTACTTAGAACAGCTCTCCCTAGTGTGACATGTTGCAGCAAAAAATATGAGACTTTTATAGGAACCTGTGCCTTTCTGAGCAGAAATGAGAAATTTTACTTGGCTGCAGTGAGTTATCTGGCATTTCATGAGGGCCAGCTTCTTCCCTAACCACCTCTTCCACCCACACCACTCAAATCTGAGAAAATTTCCCTGTAGAAATGGGTATGACAGTGACTCAAACCAAGCAATGGCCCAGCTCTTTTTTTCTCTCCCCTGAAGTCCACGCTCATTGCTCCAGAAGAGTGAGAACAAACTTCAATGTACCTCTTAGCTCAATGTAGCAAGGAAATCAAATTAGCCTTCCTGCAGTGTAAGGGAGAGTCATTAACTTTAGTGGGTTTAGTCTCCCTCATTAAGCAGCATTTCTTGCTGTGTGGGAGGTGAACGGCAGCACTACTAAGGACTCTGACTATGCAGCAGGCCAACTGCTGCATTTAAAACCTCTCCCTGCATACCAGCAGGCAGAGGACAGGCATCTTTGGGACCATGCTATGCTGTCGTTAGTTTGCTAATGGCGTGTGTGCTTGGGGCGTTCAGGCTCTCCATTCAAGGGGAGCCAGTGGCACAACGGCAGCTGTTATAGGCTGGGTAGGGAGCTGTTCAGAGAAGCAGTAGGAAATAGTTGGGGATGCCTTCAAATGGCCCTTTGACCAAGCTCTGTGTGGGATCCAAAGTGCTGGACTCAATTCTGAGTAGAGCCACCATCCTATTGCAGCAGAACTAGTGATCAGAGCGCTTCCCAGCCAGTGGAAACTGGGGTCTATCTAATAAACAAGAGGCAGTCGGAATCTCTAGCCTGATAGTTAGGACATTCCCCTTCCCTTGGGTGGAACTGAACTCTTACCTTATGTTTAAGTTGGCCATTGAGACTCCATTTCTAGCCTTTGGTAGAGCTTGATTCATCTCACCCTACAGTAGGTGGCTAAAGAAAGGATACATGAATCTCACCCTGGATATGTGAATTGCTTTCTTTCCTTGGATGCTTCATAGTATGCCTGAATTTTTATATGGGTATCAAAGGAGATGATACTAACACAGCTTTTGGTGTCCTGGGGAGAGCCAGCAGGTTCGACCGAGACGTAAGTGGGAGTTGACATTTCTGCATGCAGGTACAGCCGTCAGGTACCTCCTCATAGAGGAGAGAGATCAAAAGTAATTGGATACCACTGGGTTTAGCCAGATACCATGTATGGTTTCTAGGCTATGTGGATCTGTAACTGGCTGGCTTCCCACTGGTGTCTTAGTGATCTAGAGCAAGGCCTTTACAGCCAACTTTCTTAACGCAGATTTTATTTAGACTTGCTGTTGGGATTGCCTGTTCGAATGTAAGACTGTCATTTAACAGTAAGATTTGCTTAAAGATTCCAGTATCCTTCCAAAAACAGTTCAGAGTGCCAAAGATGGAATGTCAGAGGCCTCTGGTTAAGTACTTGGTTTAAGCTTTGATATAAAATCTGTGGCTGCCCTGTACAAATAGGAGCTCTCTGCTGCTCTGCCTGCAGGTGTACCTGTAGGAAGTGTTCTGTAGGGGATCAGCAGCCTCCACAGCCCTTACCTTGATGGTGTGATGATATGTCTCATGCACCAGGATGAGTTGTTTGCCCCCAGATAACCATGTCTTGGAGTGTTTTCAAAAGCCACGCCAATTCTGTATTCTGTATCTTCCTCAGCTTCCACCTCCCAGTAATG